TCAATCCAAAGGAATGCTGCTTTGGAAAGTGGTCAGATTCTACACTGATATTTCAGATATTTTCTCAGACAAATTTTAAGCGTGATTGTATCTTGAAATATGAATGGTGCGTGCATCTTGTGCACAACAAGGAGCCTCTACTGGCCTAAATGTCCACAGAGTTTCCAGATGTGGTTACATTATCCCATGCATGTTGCTCTGTACCTGAAAGCCCTTCATGGCTCCCCACTGCTCCCCAACAAGGCAGCCACTGTTGTCTTGACTGAGTTTAGGGAGGCCTTGCTAAGTACTTTGCATGTATTATCTCATTTAAATCTTATACTCAAAGGGAAATGTTATTAGACCCATTATGAGATCAAACACTGAGATTTAGAGAGGTATGGGGACTGGACTAAGGTTAGGCACTCAACCTCAGAGCTGGGCTGACCCCCAAATCTTAAAGGCTATTCTCAGAACCTTCCTTCCCCTTCACTACAGTGTTCCAAGTCTCCTCCCTCATCTAATTCCCATCCATTGATTAACTGCTTTGGGTCTCACCCCAGGAGGTCACCTCATGGCCATCTCCCCCCATGGGGCCCCATGGGGTCTCCCAGCAGCCAGGCCAGGTCCAGTTAGGAACTTCTCCTTAGTAGACAGCAGCCTTCTTTACTTTATCTGTCCCCTCTCAGTAAGTACCTTGAACTCTAGGTGCCAGGTGGCCCCTTATGAGTGCAGCACAGAGCCTGGTACCCAAGGGAGGCTGAAAATACGTGTGGAATGGAACATGTGATCCTGTTCTGCAGTGTCTGTCTCATTCCTCGCAACCCCACCTACCAACAGAAAAATCTGAATCTACCAATGAAGGCCAGGGCAGGGCCACCCAGTGGTGAGGCAGGACCCAGTCCGCTGCCCTCCCCAGGCCTGGCCCCACCGGCTGAGACTCAGCACAGCGCCTTACACAGGTCCCCAGGTGATGCCGCTCGTGCCGGGTCTGGTCCCACCCTCCAGGAGACAGCCCGTGTCCTTTCCCAACCACCGCAGCTGCTCCTGGGTACCAACCCTCTCGGCAGGGAAAGACCCTGGACCGAGTGATTGCCGACATTTGGGGCCACCCCAAAACTGTTTCCCAACATAGAGTTTTCTCCTGGGCGGAGTCATGTGCCGCATGGCCGGGGTGGGGGGTCTTCATTTTCGGAAATGCCAGGAAATAAGACTTTAAATGTCCTATCTGAGACATCTCACCACAGTCACCTCAGGGAGGACACGAAGGCCCCGTGAAAGGGCCAAGCTCAGCCTGGAGCTCTGTTCTGACTTCTCAAAACGTGAAACCATTTTGGCTTCTGTGCATTTTAAATTTTTTCCTTTATACCCCCCCACACACACACACACACACACATGCACACACACGGGCTTCCGTGACACACTGAGTGTGCCCACTTTTCTGTGAGAAGTGTGTCTTTCCTGTGTCCCTCACAGGGGTGCCCCCACTGTGCTCCTCAGGGCCTATGTCCCCGTGTCCCCCCAGACGACCTGGTGAACACTCCCAGGCAGCCTTTCCCAATCACCGTAGCTCTCAGAGCTGACTGAAAACCAGTAGCAGCTGGCAGGAAATGGGTGAGAAAAGTGACCACAGATAAACTGTAGGGCTCCACCAAGGAGCAAGGAGAGGCAGATAGACAGACCCTGGGCAGGAAGTCCCATCGCACCATCAGACGCTGGCCTCGAAGGGTACAGGCCCCAGGACAGCCCCAGCGCGGGCTGCGGGCCTGACGCAGTGAGCCCAGGGAGGGTGGGCAGCCAGGCCTGACCGGCCAGCCATAGCCCCTGAAAGGAGAGGAGGGGCCAGAAAAGGCAAAGAAGCACCAAGCAAAGGCTGGGCCTCGGGGGTCCTCGGGGGTCCCACAATCCTGGTCAAAGACATTGATCAAAATAACTGGGTGAGGACATATTGGCCCAGGCCGGGGCCTACACTATCAGGATCGAGTTAACTGTGGCCCATGCATTTTGTCACCAGAGTCCCCGCAGTTCCACGGCAGGAGGGGGGCCGAGGCACCCGGAGCACAGTGACAGCGATGTGGTGGGAGGCGCTGCCTGGCAGAAGCTCGGAGCCAGCATTTCCAGATACGCCTGAGCCTCCCAGCCAACCCAGAGGCCGGCTTTGCCCTTCATGATGATAGAGAACAAAGCAGCTGGGCATCGTGGACGCTCCCCGTGAACTACCCTCTTACTGCTCTCTGGCTCCCTAGGAGGTGGGTCAGATTGACCCCATTTACAGGGGAGCAAAACGAGCCCCAGGGATCATATTTACGCAGCTCGGAGCCACACAGCCTATGAAGGGCAGGTCCCAGATGCAAAGTCTCACTGCAGTCCCTGCCCTGCCCACTGGGTTACACGTCCTCTTTTCATGTGAGTCATTAGGTGCTAAGAAGGGAAGAGGAGAGAAGGGGGAGGTGAGAAGGCGGCGGTGAGCCGCTCGAGAGCGAGTGCCCGGCCCTGGGCCCTGGCTGGGGGCAGCCCTGGGCCACAGCATCTTCCCAACAGCCCAGGGTGAGACCCCCCAGGACACCTCCTCAAACAGCCCAGCAAGGCACCCACCATTTCTGCCTCCCCATGTGGACCCAGGGGCTCTTCTGGGGATAGCCATAGCAGGGTAGTGACCAAGACTGTGCACCACCAGCTTCTCTGTGACATGCTTTGTGACTAGCTGCTGTGACAAGAAGCTGCAGCATCTGCACTTGAACTTCTGACCTGGTCACAGTCCCTCCGAGGGGAAGGGGTGCAGCTGAGGAGGGCTTTGGCACCCTTGAAACAGAGGCTGAGGTCCCCTTCCTGTCTGAGAGGCAGCGGAGGGCACCTGCCCCACGAACGTGTTTGTCCCCATGCTGCCTGGGCCATCGCTCGGGTTAGCAAGACAGGGTTCAGCTGGGTCTGAGTCACCCTCGTTCCTGGAACTGTCTGAAGGCGGGAGAGGATGCTGTGGGCAGCTCTAACTGTATCATCTGGGCTGGGGCCGGTAGCAGATGGTCCTTATAAAAAAAAAAAAAAAATACTTCCATGTGGGCTTAAAATAGCGCAGCACTCACCCTCAGCTGAATGGGGAACTGCACACGCCACTGTTCACGTGGGGGTGGGCGCTGCAGGCTGTGGGTGGCCACCAGGAGCCCGGGCCAGCTGCCACGGCTGGGGCCTGGGCAAGCTCCTCGTGCCTGGCCTCGACTGGGCAGGTGGCGCACGAGCCCCAAGCAGGCCCCACGGGGACCTGAGCCACGGCCCTCCCGTTGCCCCAATGAGCCTGAGACCCAGCTGGGAGCAGTCCCAGGAAAGCCCTGCCTTAGCAGGGCAGGCGGGAAGACACATGCATCCGAAAGCCCTCAGATACCACTCTGGGTTCCGAGCCGACCCCTGCACGTGGACCAGGAGGAACATGGAAGTGAGGCCTGAGGCCTCTGGGCTGCCTGGGAGGAAATCTCGGGCTGCCCTCGGCAGCTGGGTTTGGACACAGGTTGCTTCCTCTTTTGCACCTCGGTTTCCTTGTCTGCAGTGGAGTGGACACAGGGGGCCTCCGTGAGGAGGAACCGCTCCCAGGCGGCTCTGCAGAGGGAGCGCATGATGCTAGCCTCTCCCAGGGCACGAGGAGCCTCGGCCTTTCCTCCTTGGTCCTCACTTAAGCCATGCCACACTTAGGGAGGAGAAGTGATAGCTCTGGAGGTCTCGGTCTTGGAAGGCAGGGCTGGCCCCGGGGCACAGGAGGCTGTGGCGGCAGGTGGAAAGGCCAGCTCAGCTCACTCCTCACTCCAGCAAGGGCTTCCCAAGCTGCAGCGTCGCCCTGACGCCCTCCTGCTGCCCGGCCCCTCCAGCTCAGCACTCTGGAGCCCAGGTCTCACGGCCGCAGGTGGAAGGCCAGAGCAGGGCACAGGTAAGGAAGCCCCAAGGGAGCCAGAGGACCTCGGCTGCTCGTCGAGACAAAGGCACCTAAGGCTGAGCAGTGAGCTGTGCAAACTAAAACCAGCTCTAATTTGTCACCTGGGCCAATTTCCTTGGTGCAAATACTCCCATCACAGCCAAGTTCACCACTAAACGTAGAAAAGACACAACCAGCTGCCACGAGCTCTAGGATCTTGCACACTTGGTGGACATGCAAATCCAGCTCTTCCCACAAGAGGATCACCGATCAGGGGACACACAGGACAGGCAGTGACCAGGGCTCAGTTGAAAGGCAGCAGAGCTTGAGTGTTGGAGGAGTAAGTGTAAGGGCTAAGATTCGGGCTCTTCAATTAAGACGTTAGCTAACCGACTGGTTGGATCTATTTTCTAGCTGTGTGGCCTTGAGCAAGTTACATAACCACTCTGAGCTTCGCAAATAAAGACAGGAGAATAACAGTATCTGCTTTTTTGTATGGGTACTCACTTTGTCGAAATAATCTCTATGTCATAGGCTGTTTGTACTCAAGAATGTAACAACTGGGCATGGTGGCACACATCTGTAATCCCCTTGACTCCGGGCTGAGGATCACAAGTTCAAATTATGAGGCCCTAAGCAACTTAGTGAGTCATTATCTCAAAATAAAAAAATAATAATAATAAAAAGGGCTGGGGATGTGGCTCAGTGGTGAAGTGCTCTGGGATTCAATCCCCAGTACCAAAAAGAAAAAAGAATGTAACTGAGATAAAGCTCGGCCGTAGCGGGGTGTCGGAAACGCTCCTCCACAGATTAAAGAAATAAATGGCTCCCTCAACCCCACACTGCTCTATCCCCACCCCCAGACTTCTGCAAAGGGGTGCCAGGCAGTCGCCATCTGCTGTTGTCCACCCAGTCCTGCCTGGCCTCCGCCAGCACTGCTTCACCAGGCTTTGACCTTGGGCCTGCCAAGGTCGCCACAACCCTGCTTAATACAGCCACCCTCACCTGCAGTCTCCCCGCAGCCCCAGGCCCTGCTTCCACTCCAGCCTCCCCATCCCGAAAGCCCCCTGGGCCGACACCTCCCCCCTGGGCCCCTCCCCCACGGGGTCACCTCCTCTACCTGGCCATTAGGTGGGCAGCGTCTTCTCTAGCTGGAGTCCCTCTTCCTGGGCATGCTCACTTTCCATGACCTCTGCTACTACCAAGGACACAAACCTCTTCCAAACCCTGCCTCCGGCCCAGCTGTGCCTCTGCCGGGCCGCATACCTGAGAGCCTAGTCCACATGCCACCTTGCTGGCCCAGGAGCACCCGGCTCAGCTTGTGCCAAGCCAAGCCTGCCATCACCCCCGGGCCTGCAACCTGCTAAGTGGCACCACACCCGAGTCACTGCCACCGCCTTCCTCCTCGCCTCCAGACCCAGGGCACCCGCGCCCCGCTTCCCCCTCACACCCTGCAGACCCGCGCCTTTGGTCCTCGGTCCTCCTCCTCAGGAAGGGGTGCAGGGCCTACCTCTGCCTGCGCCCCCACTCTCCCTGCCTTCCAGGGTGGCCCTCTGCCTGATGTGGACAGGTCACCCTCCTGCTGAAATCTCCTGGGAGACAGACCAGAGTGCCGCGTGGCTTCTTGGGGCCCTTGTGACTGCCTCCTCAGCCCCTCTTCCCATTCCCTTGACACTCCCCTCTGCCCTGCCCCTGGCGGCCTCCACGTTTGGCGCATCCCATTTCCACGCAGTGGTGCCTTCCGCTCAGCTCCCCTCAGAGGCCCCTCCTGCCCCTCCAGCCCCCTGTGCACTCGTGCTTCAAGCTCTGGACAGTCAGAGGAAAGCCCTCCTCATCCCCACGGCCTCCCTGGACGGGTCCTCTGCGGCTCCCCACGCTTGCCCCTGCCTTCACAGCAGGGACACCATCCGGCTCTTCTCAGGTATTTGTGTGGTTAATTAACATGGTTCTCCCCGGGACTTGGAATTCCCAAAGGTGCAGTAAACTGGCACCAGGAGTAGGGTATTCCTTGCCGTGAGGTACTATCTTCCAACTGCGGGAGCCCCCAGCCCTACCTACCAAACACCAGGGACACTGCCAGCCACTGTGACAAGGAGCCAACACAGTCACTCGCCACCATGTGCCCTGGGAGGCCGGACATCTCTGCAGACGCGTACTTCCCCAGATGCTCAGAGCCCCGGGCTCAGGAAACCCTCTAGGTCAGTTCAACCTCAGGTGCCCTGTAGGGTCCCAGCTCATAGCAGATGCTCAGGAAGTGCGTGCTGGGAGGGGCGGGCAGCTCCTGCCTACAGGCTGTGGTCACCTGAGAGCACCTACCCAGAGCTCAGGAGGGCAAGACCTGAAGCCAACTCCTTCATCACGTCACCTTCCTCCAGCAGCCCGGGGTGCAGGGGATGACACAGGTGTTCCCTAGGCCACATGGCAGGAAGAAGAGCAGCTGGCTCCTCTCTCCAGAGAATCTCAGCAATCCTAGCTGCTGGCAACCCCTCAGGTGTGCCCAGGGAGAAGAAAACTCAAAGCACAAGCCTGGTGTACTCTGCCCTCCGCTTCACAGGTAAAGGGACTGAGGCCCATAGAATCAAATAATGGGCTTAAAGTTGCACATCTTATAAATGGCAAAGCCAGGATCTGAACCCACGTGTCCAGCTCTGGGGCCAGCACTCTTAGCCACCACCAAGAGAGCTTGGGTGTATCAGCTATCTACACTGTGTAACAAACCTCCCCAAACTCGGCCGCCTAACGCAACGAGTACACATTCTCGGTGTCTGTGGGTCAGGGAGTGGCTGGCTGGTCCTTCTGGCTCAGCAGCTCTCAAAACTCTCGGGCACAGCGATCATCTCAGGCCTGACGGGGAGGACTCTGTTCCATCCCCACTCACTAGAGACCTGAATTCTTCACCACCTGGCAGCAAACATCCCCCAGAGGACTGGGCAAGCAGGAGCAGGAGAGGGCGATCAGGAACGAGGCCCGGCCCTGCAGCTACCTGGGACGCCGCTTCCCATCACCTCACCGAGGTCTGTTGGTGAGAAGTGAGCCCTGAGGTCCAATCACACTCAAGAGGGGATCACAGGAGGCCATGGACAGCAGAGGTGGCGGTCACTGGGGGCCCTCATGGGGCCACCAACCACACTGAGCCCACAGAGGAGGCGGGAGTCCACAGAAGACAGACAGAGGCTCCAAGCCTCTGGTCTGGGTCCCCCAGGACTCCGAGTTGGGTCTCTCCTGAGTAGTAATAGTGGCCTTGAAGAGGCCTGGAACTTGACTCCCAGCCCAACATGCTTCCTCCTCCTGCTCTTCCCAAAACTAAGAGGGGAAGAAGATACCCTCGTGACTTTCACTGCTCAGCCGTGCAAAGAAACAGCGGTCTGTGTTGTGGCGCGTCAGGCTGGGGGCCTGGCACCCCCTGGCTCTCACCCCCGCGCAGCCTCCGTCTCCTCCAGAGTTGACCTCCCTCCTCCCTTTCCTGCCCACTGCTCCTGGCACACCTCCGCGGTGCCTGTGTGACCGTCTCCCCTCCCAGGCCCACTCCCACAGTCGCCCTCGGAGAACCTGGACTCACAGCCGAGCCACTGCTCAAAGACCATCCTGGGCTGCCGTGGCCCAGGGGCAGGGCCCAAGTGGAGTAAGACCTTCTGCGGCAGCCCAGGCCACTCCCACCCGCAGTTCACCGTCAGGGGGATTCTGCACCCTGCCCTTCCCACTGACGGGCGAGGTGCTCCCACCTCCTAACCTTGAATGCCTTCCATGCTCCTCTCGGCTCACCAGATCCTGGTCACTCTCCCGGGTCAAGTCCGTGCCCTGTCTGCTCTACAAACCCCTGAAGACCACTCCAAGTCCCCAAGGCTGGACTAGGCAAGAGGCAGTGTGCGCTCTGCAGGGTCAATTGAATTGAAATACTACTGGTCTCAGCAAGCAGACTACTCGGGAGAACCTGAGCACCCCCCCCCCCAATAACTGCACCCTCTCTGGTCCTCAGCACCTGGGCACCACAACTGCTCGACTAGACTTAGACTTCTGGCTGCCCTGGGAAGCAGTTCTCCATCCTCTCCTCCCTCCATTCCCCAACACTCCTTCTCCCCAGACCCGTCCCTCACACCAGGCACCCCCACCCTACCCAGGGGCACAGCCGCCAGCTCTAGCCTCCCCTGCACCCACTGTCTCGTCACCTACAGGAGGCATGGCATCCCATCACTTGCATAGTTTATGGGTTTTCTATTTCCCAACTTCACAGTGAGCCCTTTGATGGCAGGATTGGGTCCAGTTTGCCTCTGGATCCAGAACAAGGCTGGGGGCAGAGGGCATGCACATGTCAGGAGAGATGGAAGAGACGAAGACTGGTCATTGATTTGAATCCCCCGTGACAAATACACCCAAGATGTTTTATTCTATCTCCTTCCTGCCCAGAAATATGAAGATGTCCTCCTCTTGCAGTCCAAGACTGCACACTCACCTTGCAGGCCTGGAGGGCCCAGGGCTCGATGGCGAAAGCTGAAGGGCACAGCTGAAGGGCACAGCCGACATGCGCAGCTGGATCCCCCCACCCCACCCCGCATGCAGAGGTGAGACAGCAAGGAGTCCAAGCACAGGTCCCCAAGCAGAGGTCAAGCACACCTGCAGCTGCCCATCAGCATCTCACTGGGCCCAGATTTGCTTTTAAAATGCTTGTCAACTCGATGTGCCCAGAGGACCCGAGTCACTCCCTGTGGAATCCAGGCCATTTACACAGAAGGCAGAAGTGAGACCTGGTGGGAGCTCACAGGTGACAGCAGGTGGGACCCGCCTTGGCTCCTGGAAGTCCTCACCTCTGCCCAGGAACCTTTTCAGAAGACTCCTATTTACACAAAGCCTAGAAATTTCTTAGACTTTTTGATTTCAAGACTACTTTATTATTTATTATTGGGCATCCTAAAAAAACTTTTGTTCATGAGGGCTGCATTGGATGATGCTTACTGTATTAGAAATTAAAATAGAAAAAAATTTAAATGTGTATCATTTGCATTAAAAATAGCAATCATAAGTCCATTCCATATGAACATAGATTTCATACCTCAAGAACATAACTATTTTCCAAGCGAAATGAGCAGTGATGATAATAGCAATGGCTTATACCTGTCCAAACTCCTCAGTGTCTCACATAACAAAGCAGCTGCATCTCGACTGGCTTCCGGCTCATTCCATGGCATCAGTTGTTGAGGTCTGTGAAGAACACTCAACCTCCAACAAACACTCAGCTGGGAGAAAGAAAACACCCCCCAGCAGACTTTCCAGGTGACCAGGGCTTTTCTTCTTTAACAGAGCACCAGAACCAGTAGCTTTGGCAAAGTCAGCCCCAGCGTGGAATCTGAAACCCTAGCCATAAATTCTGTATGAATGCTAACTATCGTGCACCTCGGATAGACTCCTGTTTTCCACTCACCTGTGATTTTGCAATGTGGTGCATTGGTCATTTGGCAAATATTGATTCATGGAGTTTGCAGATCTACCAAATGTTAACACATTTTATGACTCAGCCTTGGCATTACTACAATCCCTACAATCAGAAATGTCTCTAGGTGTTAGGAATCTATCAAGCTCACAGGAGTGAATGCAAGGTCTCCAAAGTTTTAATTTTCACTTGAAAATTTCAACTTTATCATTGGCTGCAGGTGCGGTCAGTTAAGTTTCTTAAAGTAGCAGACTCACTCTCTTTATTTTCAAGAAAACATCTGCCAGATTCTAGCTCTGATTAACTTAGTTCGTTGGTCAGTGAGTCTTTTTTCCCCAAGTCTTTCTTTTCCCCATGAAAAAGCTGTTGGCTCCATTCAGAGCTAGAAACCAACCCCCCCGGCCCCCCACGATGAGGTAACTTACTCCCGACACCCACGACGCTGCCGAGCTGCAGAGGGGCCTCCTGTGGACTCGCATCTCCAGGACAGAAGGAATCACCCTTACTAAAGGGAAGAGCGAAAATTCATCCTTTTCCCTTTTCCACCAGGGTCATCCTTATGAAACTGTTATTGTTCATGATGACGGTGAGACCAAGAAGAATGTGACAACTGTGAATAATGACCACGAGAACTGTCCTTGACTCCTTCCTGCCCGGCACCAGCCCTTTTCCCTCGACTCCTGCACACCAGCAGGACCAACAGGGCACCATGAACAATCAACCGGATTTTAGCATTTCTCTGAAAACAGTTTGACCTGTGG